TATATATATATATATATATATATATATATATATATATATATATATATATATATATATATATATATATATATATATATATATATATATATATATATATATATATATATATATATATATATATATATATAACAACGGGACTTTTTTACATATACCTCTGTTAAACGTCTGTCGTAATTCTATCATTATGTTATACCATACAGTACAAATACAAGCCTTTCAAATGTGTTGGAACAGAATGCCCCAACTACCTATTATTTTTACAAACTTCCATTCCCCTCCCCATTTTCAAAGTTAGGTCTCAGTTAGCTTCTTACTTGGTGTATTATTCGATAGGTAACACTGAATGGGATGGGCAGATAGAGGGAGACATAAATGCCAGCAATTATTTGCATATATCCGCAGATGGTCTAAAATCGCAAGTGTCCCAATAACTTTTGAAAATTATCGTAGCTATAAATGTTTTTATAATCACATTTTTAAAACGGGTTTATAGAATTTATTACCAGTGAAATGGATGGCAGTAGAATCTCTTACACAAGGAATATTTCGAACCTCCAGCGATGTGTAAGTAACATAAAAAACTTTCAAATTTAAACTATATTGCTTAATTGTTATCATATGTAATTATGAAAGGAAAAATAACGTGCGGTGGCCTAGTAGAGTTTAAATTAAAAATTTCCTGATCGAGATATGGGTAAATAAGCCAACAACCATATTACTTGATTTTGCTCACATGATGAGACTGTATGTCAGTTGAAGTATATTCGGTTTCAGTCTTAGGACTGGATCAAAATCAATTCAGTCCTTGGGCTGCATGGATTAAAATTTAATTCATCTCAGATATTAAATCCGATAATTCGGACTTTACTTGTATCCAGTCCTTGCAATTCTGTGAGTCCTCGACTCGCGAACTGAATTAATGGGCGCACTGGTTATCCTGAAAGCCCTCATTGTCGGATTTGATATATATACTAGTTAAAATTCTGTTATTGCCAAATATTAAGAATATTCTTTCATTCTGTTGGTCATAAATAAATATTGAATAAGTGATATTATATAGGTACACTATTTTTCGTCCCACCAAAACTGACAATACATCACACTGTTAGTAGGATATCTCTCAATCTTCTAGAGCGCAATCTTTATTGATAGAATCATAGAAACGCCTTGACCAGTTCATTGTTGAACTAATATAGTGACTGACCTTTCTTATGAAAACTGTATATAATAACCATAACTGATTATAATAGTGAAAATTTGATTTCATCTTCTCTCTTTTGCGAAGGTGGGCATTCGGTATTGTGCTATGGGAAACTGCAACGCTAGGTAAGGCTCATTTACAATATTAAAATATCTATCTAGGAGATTTCAAGTATGTAATTCAATAATGATAAGCTGGATGTTGTGGTTTTACGACAAGAATGTCAAGCACCGAAAAACCAGTGAAGTGCTAGTATTGATTGTTCAAATTTTTATGGGCAACCAATAAGTCTGTAGGACTTGAGAGGAGTTTTGGCCGATTTTACTTTTGCATGACCATTTTCTTCCCATTTTAAGCATTAGGCAAACTTGATCTTTGATATTCTTCAATAAATGTTTCAGGAGAGGAACCGTACCCTGAAATTTCCCCTTTTGAAACTTTCACTCTCGTGGCCTCAGGGAAACGAATGGAAAGACCACCTCAATGTTCAGAAGAACTGTAAGTTGATTGTTGATGATCCATATATTGTACGTTTTAAAATTAAACGATATCGAGGCCGTCGTGGTGAAAATGGAAAAGCAATAAAAACGTTCGTCAAAGTTTTTGGCTTGTTATAACTTTTCCTCCATCTCTAACACTTCCTGGACAATGCATGTTAATTATGCATGTACTAGCTTTACCTGTAATTACAGGTTGTGTTTTTGTCTCCAATGTATTTGTAGGTATGAGCTGATGAAAAAATGTTGGGAACACGAACAAGAAAATAGGCCGTCTTTTCACGATATTCATGAACAATTGAAGGGAATGTTGGCAGAAACAGATCATGTAAGAAAATTATTATTAATTCACAGTTGTTTATCATTTTCATTTACTAGCTGGAACTACCGCACTTTCGGGAATTCCGGGCTACGTTTTAATGTATTTGTGCATTAGTGACTTGCTCAAATTGCAACAAAAATTTATTGAGATAACGAATAGTTTTGTATGTCCACCTAAAATTTCCGTGAACACCCGTCCTCCACCCGAACACCCGAACACCCACCTGAAACTATAAAAATCATAGTTTGTTACATATCTATTACTTCACGAATATATTTTTGCGATATTGATTTGGCTTTGGCTTTGAACAAATTCAAAACATGGGTATATTTTCTCAATTTTAAACAACCTTGGTCTTCCTGTATATTGCCGAAATAATTAAATTAAAGTCAAATTAGGAATGTTAATTAAGCATGGTACTAAGACCGAAGTCAACCAGGAGATTGACTTTCCTGCCGTGATTGTCAACAATAATGATAGTGAACTCTGTGACCATGCTATGGGTGGTACTGGTAAACAAATATGATGCAAGGGGTTTCAGGTTTATTGGTCTTCAATTTTACTTTTGGTATATAGGCTAATAATGTAATAAATTGGATGAAATTATGAGTATTAGGCTAAGTTTGAAACTCAGAGAGACAGAGCAATCTTAGAAATGAACTATTATGAATATATTATAGTCTTTTACGACCTTTAATAAATTGAATTACTCAGCTTTTTAAATCTTCAGGGTAAACTTTTGCACTAGGTTTAGTTCCGAAATAAAACTTTTGCGTTCAAAAATTCTTAATTCAAAAACTTTCTATTCATGATGACAAAGTGCTGACAAAATATTGTGTATAGGCTATATGGAGAAAGCAAGAATGCACGATGCCATTTTATTTACAAGATTCTATAGACCCTCAAGAAGTCCCGTTCTTCCTATGTGGACCTGTGGAGGAAGCTGAATGCGCACGCGTAAAATACATTATTTTTAGTCACTGAGTTACAAAGCATACGCGTGTTAATTTTCCTTTAGTTATACTCAATACTGTGCTTACGTTTACCAACCTATTATGTACATTTTCTTCAGAGGGCGTACACCAATGTTGTTGAAATGTGTGAAGAAGGTAGTGATGTATTAACAGATGATCGCAGAATAAGCTTGGAAAGTCTGGGTGACTTACGTTATACTAAAGGATAGATAAATTGTCTATACACACATTATATTCCATGTTAATCTAACAATACTTTAGCTATGACTCTCGATCCCACAGGAAAACATTTTTATATATCATCAATATTTGGGATACTGAATTGGCTGTGATGGTAATAACCATGCACGGCTGGGCTCTACGATAGCCGAATCTGGATATCCCTATATCCACCAGATATAGGCATGACTTTATCAAGTTTTCAAAAATTATGCGTCATTGGTAATTAAAAATCCAAATTAACGTTAGTATTTATACGTTATAGTTTCTTGGTGTAATTTTGATGTCCATTTCTGTAGTTTTATAGCGTTTGAAGCAGTTTTGCAACGGTGCGAAAATAACTATCCAGCAGAAACATCGAAATTGAAAATTTAAATTTATATTTACGGCTGTGGACCATCAGCTAATGCAAATATTTTTGCCGGTTCCCGCCCGCTTTGGGGGTAAAAGCTATATACCTACCCAGAATTTTATGCTAAGTACAATGCGAAATAGCGGTAGCTATAGGTAAAAGCATTAAAATTACACAGTTAAAAGTAAACAAAAATTACCATCAATTCTTGCACAAGTCCAGATGTTCTTTGACAAAATGTGCATGTTCATATTCTCCATGCTAATGACATGTTATTCATTTCAATTATTATTACCATTTCCAAATGATTTATTTTATGAAAGTAAATTTGTTGATAAGCCACATATTTATTTGCTAGAAGAGAATGACTAAACCACCATGATCAGGTGTATGTGCCTGCCATATTTGCCAATCTTAAAAGTAATTGCTCAACTCCGGTTAATTTTTGTATATTCATCTAATACGCAACATATGTAACTTGTAAATATTAATAATTATATCCTTAAATTTTAACTCTAGCATATTTTAAAGTGTAGTATAATGGATTAATTGAATTGAATTCATAGACGCGATATCCTGTACATAACAATAATGTATTATATCTATTCAATTATGCAACTGTTAATTAAATTTGCTTTTGGTTCATTGAACAAATTGTTTTTGTGTTCAAATCATTCTAGACGTATTTTAATTTACGTGCAAAGCAAATTCAGTTTGCTGAATACCTTAATATCATGCAAGTAGAAACGGTTGGCATAGAAAACGAACCCGATCAAATACTAAGGATTAAAAGAGGCTGTCAAGTCCGTTCTGCTCATGCGCATATTTTGTTTACATTTTTGTTACAAACAATAGATAATTTAATTAAAATTCCGATCTGTGGGTCCACAGATCGGAATTTTAATTAAATTATCTATTGTTTGAAACAAAACACGCGCATGAGCAGAACGGACTTGACAGCCTCTTTAAATAACTTACTCTGATGCCGCTGAAAACTGTTACATAACCCTAAATATTGAACAATGTTTTGCTATTTCCATAGTTGTGCTTTCTGCCAATTCTTAAGCACTAAGAACATGCTTAAGCCGGGGACGAGGGTACTAATTCCGCTCGACTACATACGTCCGGTAAAAAAAGGAAAGCATGAAAAAAATAGGTACGTTGTAGCGTACATGGCGTCTACTGGATCAAAAACAAAGAGTGTCAATGCCGTTCGGTTTGTATTTACATTTCCAACTTTCGAGTTGGGAAGATTAAAATATCTCGGCAAGTATTTACCTGCCCTTTAAAACGAAATCCACCGTTGCAATACTCATAAAACAACCTTTCGAACGGTGGGTCAAATGCCGTCATAATATTACACAAACCAACCAATCGTATATTTACTCACCGCTTGGCCAAACATTCTGTACTTCATGTGGAGAAAAAATAAATACCTTCTAACTGACTCTTCAGACAAAGTAAATAGGAGTGAAATATTTTTTGTATTCAAGTGCTTTCGTGTAGAAAGTTTCGTTTGAATACGGCGGACTAGAAATATTTATTTTGAATTTTTCGGAATATCGGGTTGTTACTCGCACGCGCGTGCCTCTCGCTAAAATTGGCCAATAATGAACACCGTATATCTCCGATGCATGTGCAAATCAGGTTACATGAAGGGGAGTACAACCTTTAGAGTCGATTTCCGACGTTTCCCGAGGCAGGATGTAACTGATCGCATTGTTTCAATATGTCAGGGTGATCAAAGCTGTATTTCCGGTCGAAGTTCTCGTGTAAAATTTAGATATTCTGAAATACCGAAATAATACAAGTTGCAAATCTTTAGATACAAACTTGAAAATAACACTCTAAATAGTGTCTTGGATTGTGATTCGAACAAGAATATTATGGAAATGATATGTTGAAAGGGGCCAAAGTTATTTTCGGCGAAAGGTATGGCTTAGTGAACATTGTCGTACATTGTTTGCATTCTTAGTATGGCTAGTTTACATTGTTCGAGTATAGCTAGTTTATATTTTATGGCTATTTTACATTGTCAGATTTATATTAGTGTCTGTCAAGCGGAATTTTTTGGTGATATTTTCGTATTTCTACTGCAAATACTGGCGGAGTTTTTTATAATAACGTTGGAAATATCACGGCCGGACGGCATTGATAAAACCATTTATTGTAAACAGTTCGGAAACTTTCGTAGATGCGCGGGCTGTTCGCAGGAGAAGTGAAGAGCCTGTTCGCAGGAGAAGTGAACCGTCCACTCTATATAACCATATAACCTTCATACTAACATTCTAAACCTCTTGTCGACAGCATATAGCGACTACTGTTCCAGTAGACGCCAAAAATTATAAAATTTTTGTCCTAAAATTTTCCCTTATCAAGGCCAAATTTTAAAAATACCACCACGATACTTCATATTCATCATTTATGTAGTACGGACAGAGTTTTTCTCTCAATAGTGTTCTTTACATATAAGCACGTATCGCAAATGCTGCATATTTTTGCGATCTATAATCTAAATAGTCATCTGCGATTGAATCTTTCAACCATGTTTCGGTAAAGAAGGCTACTTGAGTGTCTTTCCGGTGTATGGTAAACGCTATTTCATCAATTTTTGGGGTCGGTGACATTGTATTCGAAGGTGATAATGGAACCCATACTTATTGCCGCATTAATAGCAACACTTAATAAGGCATTATTTAAATGTTCGTGGTTACACGACGAACAATATTTCCGTTTGGCGTCGAGACCGATATACCGACGGTTCTGAGGACGCTTCAGAAACGGAGGTTGTCGTTGTTGGGATCCGTTCGGATGATTCTGGGAACGAGGGGATATATGATTGATTTTACCGAGGCGCGCATGCAGCGCCGAGGTGAATAAACACATATCCCCGAGGTGCCTCAAAATAACATGCTTATTTTTCACATTGCGAGGTCGCGTTAATGAGTCTGAATAGAAATAACTCGTAATGACATATAGCCTTCGTCACGTTGTTTGTTCACATTTTTTGTGCTGCAAAGACATCGCAGGTGAATATTAGAGGAGGGATTATTAGAGGGAAATTGATGAGAGGGGGGATATTGAATATATTCCCGGTAAGAACAAAGTAAACCGAGCAGGGTAAAAAATAAGTAAAGTTCTATTCCTCTCTTCGGCTTCATGTGCTCCACTTTTCCATTCTGACAAGGAACACTTTAGAATGTCCATGCACGTATTCAATCAAAGAAGCATTAGTTTCGTCCATTGCTGCAAACTCATTAACTCCGCCTATGTTTGTGGTTTCAACACGGTTGATTTGACTCTTAAGTTCGATATTTTCGTTTCTAATGGCGGCCAAAATCATCTTGAATTTTAGTTACCTGCAATTGCATACTTGAAACTTGCCTTTGATATTTGTTTCAGCAATCACGATCTCCAATTTGACTCCCTCCATGTCAGTCAACAGGTCTTGGCAGCGACATTTTTAATCGGACCGCTTTCAAACGCTGTCTCGCTGTTTATTGTTGAACTTGCAACTTCCGAATTACAACCGTCTTTATTCTGGCATACAGTAGACTTTAGTTTAGACAGAACGTTATTGTCCAGACCATTTAAGAATAGAAATTTCATATTTTTCCACCACGCAATCGACACTGACCCATCAGTAAAAGTTTTCTTTTCGCCGCCTGGCGAGCGCCACTCCCCTTTCAAACTCAAATAGTCGCTCACGAAGTCTTTTAACGATACAAGATCGCCAGCCCATGATAATTTTGGTTTATCCATGGTTTAGGGCACAACAACGCTTCCCTTGTAGAATCAAACACTATTTAATTGCTATTTAATTCCTATTTTATTGGGCTATTTAATTCCTATTTATCAAAGTATTTATTTGAATTATTTCCTATTTTCACTATTATTTTTTTTCGGGGATTTTCCTATTTAAATTAGGGTAGAAAGGCTATTTTTTTCCTATACAAGTGGAACCATATTTTTTTCCTATTCATGATATATTTCTAAAGAAATACTTAATTGATGTACTCGAATAGAAATTAGGCCTAAATAGGTTTCAAATATGATAAAAATAGAGCTATTTAAGGAAATTATTAAAAATATTTAGTTTCGACATAGTTAATAAATATGTATGAAATAGTTAAAACATAGTGACAATATAGGTAAAAAATATGTAATAAATAGGTTTAATGTGTTTCAACAAAGTTTAAAATAGTCAATAATTAATAGTTCAAAAATAGTGATAATATAGTTTAAAAGTAGATAATAAATAGTTCAAAAATAGTGAGATTATAGTTTAAAAATAGATAATAAATAGTTCAAAAATAGTGAGAATATAGTTTAAAAATAGATAATAAATAGTTCAAAAATAGTGATATTATAGTTTAAAAATAGATAATAAATAGTTAAAAAATAGTGGTAATATAGTTTAAAAATAGATAATAAATAGTTCAAAAATAGTGATAATATAGTTTAAAACTAGATAATAAATAGTTCAAAAATAGTGATAATATAGCTTAAAAATAGATAATAAATAGTTAAAATACATCCCAGCTTGTTAAAAATAGCTAATAAATTGTGGATATAATATTGCCCAAATAGGTTAAAAATAGTTAAAAAATAGTAATAACTTATCAAATAAATAGTTAAAATATGTCCTGCTAATACAGTTAGAATAGTTATTAAATATAGTGTATACAAATACATATAGCCTATAAATATTTTTAAAATATATTATAAATACCAGTAGTTAAAACATAGATAATAAAAAGTTGAAACATATAATGTAAATGTGACCCTCCTTGGGAAAACGTACGTTAACGGTTTTGAAAAACGTTCTGAAAAATCGTTCGTTATCCGTTCGTTATCCGTTTAAACGCTTTAGCGTTCCGTTGAAACGATTTTTGAGATCGTTCAAACGTCTGGCTGAACCGTTCAAACGGTTGGAGAAAAACGTTTGAAAATGTTGCTAAATCGTTTCAACGTTTGGCTCAAAACGTTCAAATACGTTCACGAAGCCGTTTAAATTCCTTGCAGAATATATTCACATTGTTTAAGCTGGCTTTGTAGGTGTTTATCTGAAACCGCTTTGTCTTGTAGGATTTACAAAAAACACTATTACAGTATTAGTGTTACGGACAGCAGTTAATATAGGAGTTCGCCACCCTTCGCAATATTAAATATTCTTGCAATTTTATTAGAGTAGCGTCGAAAATGTCGCGGTGAAATATTGCAACAATAAATTGAGCAAAAGGTTTCTCGAATGTTAAAAGATGGTTTAAAATATACATCCGCGAGCTTGCCGCTTCCGTCGTTGAATAGCGTCAGCTTAGCGTCAACTAATTCGCTTAAGTTACTACATTATTATTCTGGCCGAATAACTGAAAGTCGTTATGTTACTCATACAATTGTACCAAAACAAGCATAAAACAGTTTCAATGTAGTCCACAGTAATAAATATTGATCTTAATTAATAATATACCTGGCTTGCCAGTTTCGAAAGCGGATTTTGCTGCGCTCCCTATAGTCTAGAACAATTGAAAGCGGCAGTAGATCGACCCCTAAATCAATTGAATTCTTGCAAAGTTTGAATAACTAAAGTCTGTTTTCCACTAGTGAAATTTGTCGTGCGAATCTTTTATCTTATATAAGCTCTGGACTGGAATTATAATTAGAATTTTAATAAATTATTTTCAATTTTAGCAATAAAAAATCGATTCATGCGATGAAATTCGAAAAACAGGCTCAAGTAATTAAGTACGACACGGCACAAAATTTGCTAAATCATGTCACATTATCCGCCAAAGATTCGACTTAATTTTTCGCATAATACATTGGCAACAACGAAATAACATAAAATTTCCAACCTATAGTGTACTACCTATGTAGCCGCATCATGGACGGCATTTCTAGAAAGTCCAGTAGTTTTCTATACACGAACAAACGAAAATTATAAAATCCATGGCGTTTTAATTGAGCCGAGTCAGATAGAGCCATAGAGGAATAAAAATAGCTACGCCCATGAATCTACGAATAGCAATAAATCGTTGCCCACCCTGTCCAGTGTCCAGTGGTCAATCGACAACTTTAAAAAGTGAATGGCCACCAAGCACCAGCTAGACTAGAACATAATCAGAAAACAATATATGCTGGCATAAACATGTCATTGAAATACCGGTAATTTGGTCTAAAATGGTTATTCCAGATTAAAATATTCACAATTCTATTTCTAATTGTAAGACCATACTCAGTTGCACACTAAACAAATCCATCGCAGTAAAACGCCACAGTAACTGTGTCTTATACGAATTCGTATATACACGCCATAATAATAGAGACTCCTGCCCACTAACCTATACTGATAAGGCCAATGGTTCTGCCGTGAAACAAAATATTATGAAACACATTAATTAAAAAACAATTAACTAATAAAGTATTTTCACTTGTTCGTATATGATATGTTGAAACAGAGGCGGGATAAGTACAATATATAGTTAAACGTGAACAAGAATCACGTTTAATACTGTTGCACTTTTATTGTGTTTATATTAAGTGGAATATTCGACATGAGCGCACACATCATATTAAAGGATCGTATTACATTACTAAATTCTAACAACAACATCTTGGAGAGTAGGGAGTTACGGCCCATAACATTTAAAAAATTTAATGGGTCATTTTTACTCGAAACCTTACATTTAAAACATTTAATGGGTCATTTTTACTCGAAATCTTACATTTAAAACACTTAATGGGTCATTTTTACTCGAAACCTTACATTTAAAACATTTAATGGGTCAATTTTACTCGAAACCTTAGTGGCTTACTTTTTCGCTTATTAAAATAATTCTGTACCTCATATTTTGCCAAATTTCGCTAATTCAAATGCTTATCAGGTGTCAAGATGACTTCAAATAGGACACAAGGTAGACGCCTTGAAAACCAATACGTACTATTTCGTAAATTGCTGAAAAGTGTACAGCAACCACGCTACTACAAAACAGACACGTAGTTCGAAGATTAATTTACCTTCGCTCCATTTTCATCCACAAGTCATCAAATTTAAATGTGTGAATAAATATAAATCATAAATTTTAACTCCTCTTTACCGCCATATTGGATTGTCTCGCGACCAAGCCGTGATTTGTAACTGAAAAGTGAACAGTGAACAGCTAACACGTCGTAGTCAATTTGCCCGACGGCAAATTAAATACATTGATAACTCAACTTACTTTGACGGAAATCGGCATACTGTATATCAACACCTAACTGGCACCATAAACCTAATTAAAATAATTGTCGGATTATTATATTAAGTGATCATGTTATAGGAAATAGTTTATATTCCTTTGTATAAACTCAGGAGTAGAATTTTCTCTCAGAATATAATTTCTCTTACTGGTGCTTGAATACAACTTTAATTTTTCATATGGAGTTTAAAACCAGGAAAATAGATTTTGATACAAAATGAACAGCGACTAAATGAACAAAATCAAAGCTTTTGCAATAAACAGTTATTAGGCTATTAATAAAACTTTCCTAGGCTAAGGCAGCAAAACTGAAAAGTTTATTCGTGCATATACTGATGTTATAAGTATAATGTAAACTGCACGAAACCTTTGCTTCGAATCCAATAATAATATGTTATTTTACATCAAAAGCTATATTAATACTTGAAAGTACTTATAGTCTTATTGCATGGATGTGATAATTTCGTATTTCATAAGGTATTTAATTATCCCACACGTCTTTGCATGTAACAATGATCTTAGTCATATATTTCCTATTGTACCCCACATGCATATTATTATACTTTATACAATTGGTATTTCAATGATTCGCATGCATGCAGGCACCTTCTATAAAAACATAATTTGAGATGCTGATCGGTTCTCCTAAATATATAATATTATGTATCTACCTAATTTAGAAAAATAAAATATTTTCGAAAAGTTAAAGCATTTTTAAAGCCTTAAATAAATATATTACTGCAATCATTACAAATTTTAAATGATTATAGTCGAACCTATATACAGAATCATTGCATCAGGATAGTCGGCGTCTCAACGAATAGTTGCGATTTCCGAATAGTGTTGTGTATAAATTCAGAATTGTAACGGAAAGTGCCTCGTTCGGCCATGGTTTTTGAGTACGATTTGCGCCGTTTCCGTTTCGATAAACCATTATAATGTGATACTATATAGTATATCATACATGCATGCCACTCCATTTTACTCAACTCAACTATAATTAAAATGAGAAAGCCGCAGAAGTGCTGACGTCTCTTCAGTCATTGGAAAATACTCCAGCTGCGTGAAATTCAACTCTCTCAAAAGCATAATTAAATTAACATCTATAATATTATTATCAAGCTATTCTTATGCAAGTTGACATCAATGTCAAGTGAAATATTAGCTTGCAAATTTCAAATTGCGCCAATAGATAGAGTGTATACCTGCGTACGACTGTAAGTTCGATAGTTGAAAAGACGAAGATACGTTACTTGGGAAGACGAAGATACATTATGTATTCTTTTACTAAAACGGACGACATCAGAAGTGAGAAGACGTCGTAAGGTTAGCGTAGTCCTGGTGGTCAACTACTTATGCCGATTCAATAATCATTATTTATTTTTGATTTCTTTAAATAAAATAAAATAGAAGACCACCAGGAAAGGTTGTGTATATCAAGGTGTTCCAAGCTATTCTTGCATTTCCCAAAATAAATAGGGGAAAACAGCCAGTCCAGTGTGGAATGTCTGTATCGCGCGGCGG